CTGGATTATCTGCCAAGCATTACTGCTGCTTTGCCATTTACTGTGGTCTGGCAGATTCCTTTCATGGTCAAAAATGCTATTTTGGAAGTGATTCACCCCTACACCTAAAAGCATGCATGGCCATCTGAAATGAAATTTTGCTGGCCCTTTATTTAAGATCCACTGTATTCCCAACATTGATAGGGCTACATAGCACCCCCATGTCCCATACTATAACTGCTTTTTCCCATTTGTGATGTTGCCATAAAAAGTAACTTTTTGAAGTGAATAGGTGTTATTTGTCAAACTTGGATGTAACTTAGGTGTTACTCGTTACAGTAACTAGTAATAAAAGAAAACTCAGTCCCTAACTTAAATAAAATTCTTGGCAGAGCAGAAGACTCAGCAAATGTAAAACAACCTAGCAGTTCTCTTACACCAGCTCACTGTTAGCATAAAGATATAAGATGATGCTTGGCAACAATGCAGAATGTATTTGTAAAATGTCAGCCTTTAAATTAGCAAAGTCCACCAGGCCATGGCAGAATAGTCCTTAATTTCACACACACCCCACATGCATTCTTTGTGCTGGTGGCTGGATTTATATAGGTGCTTCCAAAAAAATCAAGATGACACATTGGAAGCATGAATTTAATGTTTTTATACAGTAACATTGTAGTTACTCTCCACTGCCTCATTGTACACAAACACCTGCATCAAACAATGTGATATGATGTATCGTTACAAGAAGGAGGCACTTCAGCTGGGTAATAGACAGGAACAAGTTAAAATGTGTGTGAAAGTAGATGCTGTATGTTGTCACTATGCAGAGACTGGGCAAAAGATGCATGAGGACATTCAAATGTAAACATTTAAATTACTCTTGTGCTGGCCTTTGTAAATGTGTTTGCCCAAATAAAAATAAAAACAGCCTAATTTATAGATCAGATTTTCAGAGTTTCCATTACAATGTGGGTTTAAATCTGCCTTAATATACCAAGTTTGATTAACATGCTGTTTCAATTGCCATCATGTTTTCCATACATATTTTAGAGAATGCTATTTGTAGTTAGTAATAAATTTGTATTTCTACTAGAACTTGCAAAACTAAAAGAACCAAATCCATATGGTTTCGGCTTCCATATTGGTTGCAGCTGAAAGAGTTCACTGAACTTTTGCCAGTGGAAGAGCTGACTTATTCTGTTTTTAAAATACGTTTTGATGTAGTTTACCTAGACTCAACATATTACATTATGAAGTAATAGAACCTGTTCTCCTACAACTAAAAATCTGCAAGGAGAACGATTCCATCATGCTTAGGTTTTTCATTTTCTTAAAAACATTCCCATGAGCAGGTGTTTCACTTGTGTGTGCATTGGAGTTATATTACAACAGAGTATGCTGTCTGTAGTTTGAGAGATTGGAGTGATAGTCTATCTGTCCTGTAGTAACCAATCAATTCTTCTAGCTTTTGAATTCTAAGGGAGCCCTACTCTTTGTTAAATGTTCTATTCCTCTTTTGGTCACTTGGTGACACATGTTTGTTTGCTGTTGATCTGTCCAGTTGGTTGCTTGTATGTATACAATAAAGAAACTGGTATACATAAATCTGTAATTTAATCTTCATCTACAAATCTCAGAGTGAGTTATTCGGAGTTTAAGTGCCAGTTAATGAAAATTGGTGTGGTTTCTGAGAAACTTGGAGCTATTCTCTTCTATGTATCTCTTTATTTCCACTGCACATCAAAAAGAGAATTTTACCAAAAATTCAAAACTTTGCAGCTGTGTGTGTGCATGAGTGTCCAGATGTTCTACTTTCAGATGTTCTCTATAGAGTAGCACACCAGTCCTGAATAAATGTAAGAGATAGCCCGTAAGCTTCCATTTTATGGAATGTGGGGTTTGGGGAGGATTCCTGAGCAGGAAGTGAGGAGCTGAGCAAAAGATGAAAGATGTTTAATTCCCTTTCTTGCCACTTCTTATCTCCCTCCATAGCTACTTTCTCGATGCAGAGTTGTAAATACGTATATATAACATCCACAAACAAGGTTTCAGCACCAAATGAAGCACTATGATAAGCTTTTAAATGTATATCTCTATATCACAATTTATTTACCTGGATTGGGATCAGCTCATATAGATGGGGGGATATTTCCACTCTTTATATTCCACCCCCCTCAACCAAAAAGTACCTTGGGAGTTTTCTTTCTGTGCTCAGAATCACCCATGCCAGTGACAATTTCTGGAAAAGAAAAAAGGGCTTCTGAGGCTAATGAAAATGGATCCTGATCTTTATTTGACTCTGTAGGTAGGTATTACAGCATTATTACACTTGCTCCATTAAAAGACAGAAATGGAAAATGGCCTAAGAGCACTTTTGTAGTCTGATCCTCATTTTACTCTAAAAGATCATTCTGTATCGAGAACATCTGCATTGCTTGTCAATGTCGTGAATGCTAATATATTTAAAATGTAGTATTAATTATGCAAGCTCTCCTCTATTGGAGTAGCATGGTGTTTAAAAAAACATAAGATCCATTAGAAGCCACTTTAGCTTTTTCACGAGGCTCCTTAATATCCCACATCTCATGAAATATAGATGGTAATGGGTTTCTATGTAATAATAAGGACACAAAATGTGGGTGGGAGAAGAGGAAAGTGTACAGCTTTTGTTCCAACATATCTGGGAAATGTTCCCATGTATATTTGCATTCATTAATCATAAGCGACCGTGTTTCCCCAAAAATAAGACAGGGTCTTATATTAATTTTTGCTCCCCCCCCCAAAAAAAAACCCACAAAACCCCCCCACGCATTAGGGCTTATTTTCAGGGGATGTTTTAATTTTTTTTTCATGGACAACAATCTACATTTATTCAACTACAGTCATGTTCTCTTCTCATTGCTGCACAATGGTGGGAGATGGGCTTTCACTTAACTGGGGCTTATTTTGGGGGTAGGGCTTATATTACGAGCATCCTGAAAAATCATACTAGGGCTTAATTTCAGGTTAGGTCTTACAGTGCTGCCTCGCATTACAACATTAATTCATTCCAGCGAAATCGCTGTAGAACGAAAACGTTGAAATGCAAAAATAAAAAGCCCATTAAAACACATTGAAACCCCTTCAATTCGTTCCAATGGGCTGGAAACTCACTGTCCAGCGAAGATCCTCCATAGGGCAGCCATTTTCGGTGGCTGTCTTGCAAGGAATCCGTCCCTAAACACAGTGGAGGCCATTTTGATACCGCCGACCAGCTGGAGGAAAATCGTCGTTTTGTGAAGAATCGGTTCCCGAAGCAGGGAACCAATCATCACAAAGCGAAAAAAAACCATTCAGACCATCGTTTTGCGATCACAATTGTGATTGTCGTAATGCGGGGCAATCGTAAAGTGAGGCACCACTGTATTTTGGGGGAAACAGGGTAAAATGTGTAGCCACTTGCTAGAGCCAGTGCATGGAATGGTTACATTGTTAAATTGTGACTTGGGAAATTCAGGTTCTGGACCTTCACTGAGCTGTGAAATACACCAAGTGCCCTTGGAGCAGTTGTTCTCTTTCATCCTCCTCAAGGCTTTTTTAAGGATGAAATTGTGGGGGAGAGTACCAAATATATCACCTTGAACTCATTAAAGATAGAAATCTGATTATTAAGTATTTAAAATAAATAAATGTAAGGAAACATAAAGGTCCTGTTTGGTTTACGATATCCTCACAGTGTGAAAAGAGGTGAAACGAAGCTAGATCCAATCAACCAACATTATTGTTTGCCAAGGATGGGGATTCAAGTCATGGGCCTCACTGTCAAGTTGGACCTAAGTCACACCCGTAATTCAGCTTAGACTTGACTGAAGGTTGTTGTTGTTTTCAATGACTTGGACTTGACTCACAACTTGGAATGCCACCCCATCCCCTCCATTTTTACCTAGGAAAAAAACTTGTTTTTAATAGGGACTCAGACTTGGGGCTTGGGACCAAAGATTTCCCAGCATCCCTGTTGTTTACAGAGTGGAGAATCTGTAAAGATTGTAGGCTATGAATTAAAAGATTGCAAGCTAGTTTCTTTATAGCTTGAGTGGTCTTTGCCACTACCATGCTGTCCTTCTTAACAAAAATCTGAGATGTAGTAACCACGTGGGAAGAGAGTTCGATATGAGTAGCCTGATAATGCCCATGTTGGTGCACAGATACCTTCCACTGAGCTGAAGGCAGGGATGTAAGAGGACACCCAGATGCATTGTACAAAAGCGCATGCAAGAGGATTGCATAGTCATGCCATTTGCTTCCCTTTGTCCTCACCATGGCACACACACACTGCATGTGCCATCTGGAAACAATGCTTTCACCAACGTTTAAAGAGTAATGGGCAGCTGAATGTATGAGAGTTTTAAAGTAATTTGCAAACAACAAATGGATGAAGAAAGTCAGTTTAAATGTTGTATGGAAGGAACAACTATTTTCTATTTCTAAAAATGAGACTCTTAGTTAAATAAAATGAGACCATTGATAGATGGGAAGAAAATGGAGTAGAGGAAGCAGCAAGAAAATGTTGTAATGCCTAAATATTATAGTAAAAATTAATTATGAATAAAGTTCATAATTCACTTTCATTACAAGATTAAAATCCAAGACAGAATATTTAGAATATGAAAACTGCAATTCCTTCATTTAGATGTGTGTGGAGGATAAATACACCAATAATTCCAGTATATTTTGCCCCCTTTATCCCATCCTATCTTGTCCCAGTAAATACTTTATACCTTAATTGTTTTTGAAAGGTAAGAATGTCTTTTTCTTTTCCCACAAAGATCTATTTAAATGTAAATTCCACAGGAATGCAGAATTTGAAAAGAGAAGATATATTTGGTCCATTACATATTTATTTTCCTTCTGAATGTATTTTAATCTTCACTGGCATCTTGGAGAGCATACTTTACCATACAAAGCTAAAATATTTAGATGATGTCTTAATATTTTAGTGGAAGTTAATAATAAAAAACATGCTTCTTTCTCTTCTTTAGAACAAAAGCCTGAAAAATAAACTCCTGTCAGGAAGCAAGCTGTGTGGTATTCATGCTGAAGAGGTGAGTAGAATTTGTGCTGCTCTGACCCCAAAAAATCCAACAGGTAAATGACTGCTCAATAAAGCCTGTCACACATTTTGTTCAGACTGGAAAAATACACTGCCGAGGTGTTATGATAACTCTACTGAACTGTCTTCTTAGTTCCAGTAACTTCTTAGGTGTTCTTAGAGGAAGATAATATGATCCCAAGTATCCAAGGGGAAATGGCTTAGGACTTTTTGACTGAATTTTAAGGAAGAACTACATGAAGACATAGTCTTGGGTTCAGAGATGTCTTGCGTGAGCTGAAAAGCACGTTTCCATGTGCATGACAGCAGCACGGAATTCTCAGAACTTCCATGTTCTCTCTAAAGTGATAATTTTGCACTTTCCAAGTATCCAAGGGGAAATGGCTTGAAATTGTATGTGGAGTTACTAATAAAACCATTAGGACTTTTTGACTGAATTTTAAGGAAGAGCTACATGAAGACATAGTCTTGGGTCCAGATATGTCTTGTGTGAGCTGAAAAGCACGTTTCCATGTGCATGACAGCAGCACGGAATTCTCAGAACTTCCATGTTCTCTCTAAAGTGATAATTTTGGGCTTTGTAGATTAACTTGGTCCCCAGGAGGCAAAGCTGGGCTTCAATTACAAGTCTGATTGTGTTCTTGAAGGACTTGAATGTCTGGAAGGAAAATCTAAACATGGTACTTGCACGTTTCACATAACGTGTGATTTGACTCTGGCTGTACATCAAATGTGGTGGTTTGCGCACATATTTCTGGATCCCATTCATAGTAAATAATTCAAATATTGCTTTGAACAGCAACCACTATTTGAAAAGGTTTATCATGTTAATGACACTTCATAATGGTAACATAGTTCATTCTTCTTCTTTGGGCACATATGGGTTATGATACAGCTATCTGATATGTGCATGTGCTGGTTATATAGCATGAATCCACTGGGTTTTTTCAACAAGCTTCACTTTCAGGAGCTCACATGGCAAATCTGCGTGAAATGATCCTAAGGAATGCAATAGCCAACCTTCCATTAAGAAAAGGGAGCTTCACTAAAACCTCATTGGTTAATTGATGCACTGCTCTAGGTTGTAAGCCAAAGAACTGGAGGAAGAGAGAGTGCGAGAGCTCTGGCGTTCTTGATTTAAAAGGCAGAATCCATTTTCAAGGCCTCTACATTCTTCTGGACCATCTGGGAACCACAAAAAAAAAACAAAACCCTATAAATTTTTTGAAGGGAATTTGGTAGCATGAGAAACTGAAAAGAAGAAAAGTAGAAAAATCTCAGTGCAGAAAAATGGACATGTGTGCATCTGAGTCAGTGGCTGTGATCCAGGCTGATAGTGTTAAATGTTTTCAGTTAACTGGAATGTGCTGAAAATGTACTAATCTTGTTTTCCCCCACATGACTCCCATATAATGGGGAAATTATAGTGGAGATGAATGGCATTCCTTATGTTTGCATGCATTTAGTAGAAGTATGTTGGCCATTAGACTTTATATTAATCTTGAATTAGAAAGATTTTTTTCATAATTCAGAAATAACTTATTTTTATGACTTTATATTAATCTTTAATCATTAATCATTAGACTTTATATTAATCTTAAATTAGAAAGATTTTTTTTTCATAATTCAGAAATAACTTATTTTCTGATCTTGTCCAATTTTGGACATTTGCCTCCACCCATTTCCCATCCCTAACACCCATCCAATCGTATCCTAAATTTTAGAGTTTGCATGCATTTAGTAGAAGTATGTTGGCCATTAGACTTTATATTAATCTTGAATTAGAAAGATTTTTTTCATAATTCAGAAATAACTTATTTTCTGATCTTGTCCAATTTTGGACATTTGCCTCCACCCATTTCCCATCCCTAACACCCATCCAATCATATCCTAAATTTTAGATTCTCCATCCCATCTTTCTACCTGACTAGGGCAGATAAACACATAAAAAGATGCCCTGTTGACAAGCCTCATTCAGTTTTAAACTCATGACTGTTAGATATATCTGGAATCAAGAATCATGTGGGTGAACACATATAATTTCTAGACATCTACCTTTGCTTCTCACTTTGTTTCTCCGCGTATAGCTTTCAAGTATAGCTTCCCCCTGAAAGCAATGGGGAGAAATCAGCTGGCATGCTCCAAAACATATCTCTCTGCATCAGGGGCATAGTAGGGGACTGAGAGACCCTTGATTTCTGTAGATCCAGGTGGTTTCCCTCCACTCCCACCCACTCCTTTTCACTAGACTCCAAGGTAGGAGTTACCGTATGTGGGGGAGGGCACCTGCAAACACTTCCATAGTAGCTGGGAGGGGCCAAAAGAGGAATCAGTCACCATCTCTCTTCCAAAGATTTGTAAACCAGGAATTATGGCCTCTGTGTCTTTCTATGAACCTTGGACTACTGTACTGTAGCCTCAGTGCTTCTCCAACCTAACATAAATAAAGTGTGAACTTCTGAATGATTGCATAGCTAATTCATCTCTTACTGAGTGAATAATATAGGTCCCTTATATAATACAAATAATCTTGTGCCATATTTTAGCAATAAAGGATTACACTGGTTTTGTGGGATGACTGAAGTACATTTCAGATGAACCATCTCTTGTCCTACTATGGAATAAGCATATCATGCCAACCCAATCTATCTGCTACCAACCCTTCCGAGAAAGCAGATGAGATTAGGCTTTTAGTATGTTCAATTGACTAAAAGCAGTTGCTAGACTCTTAGATAATTGATTAATTGATTGAGTGATTGATTGATTGATTGATTGATCAATTAAGTAATTAGAAGTGATGTTAGAGTATCTCAGTATAGTTGATATGGCAAATTATCTAATGAACATGTTTCCTTCTTCAAGAATTAGCAAGATAATATACATTTGATGAATTAATACAAAAACAAAATCAAGAAAGGTTCACAATTGTACTATGAACACACTGCTTGTTATTTCACAATAAAATATAATTCCTGTCCAAATTAATAACCAGGAGTACTTATGCAATGCAATACATTTACTGAAATAATTGGGAAAGCAATTTAGGCAACTTTACATTAGAGAGTTTGCAACTAGTCTTAAGCAGGCTTTTATTTGTACTGGACTATTTTTAAAAATCCAAATTCCTCTGTAATTTAAGACCATTGTGCATATAAAATAGAATACAATTTCTGGTCTGATTCTCCTAAGCCTGCCTGCTGTCTTTAACTGGCAATAATGTGAATCTATTCTTTTTATACTGTTATTAATGAGTCTTCAGAGTAGGCAGAATGAAAAAGATTTCAAGAAATGAGATGGACAGCTTTAGAAAGTGGTGGACTCTCCTTCATGGGTACTTTGTAAACAGACACTGGGAATTAGATAGTGACCATTAGGGAATATAGAAACCATCAAATGAGACCAGGGGATATGGTGTTGGCTTTGCAGTCAGAAATACTCTTCTGAGATGCATTGTTCCACCTACTATGGGGAGTGAAAGAATCCTGTCTCTGCAGCTCCACTCATCAGCAGGACCAGTAACCCTCATTAGTGCATATGCACCAACACTGTTATCCACTCGAGAAGTGAAAGACACATTCTATGACGATCTGGCAGCTACTATCAAAAAAGTCCCTGAAAGAGAGCCATTGTTCATTCTTGGAGACTTTAGCGCTAGAGTTGATGCTGATCATAATTCTTGGCCCACTTGTCTAGGCCGTTTTGGCATTGGAAAGATGAATGAAAATGGCCAACGCTTGCTGGAGTTTTGCTGTTATTATGGTCTCTGTGTCAGCAACACATTCTTTAATACGAAGCTGCAACACAGAGTTTCCTGGAGACATCCAAGATCCAAGCATTGGCATCAGCTTGATCTGATCCTCACTAGACGTTCTAGCCTCCCTAATATTACGATCACACGCAGTTACCAGAGTGCTGATTGTGATACTGATCACTCCCTGGTGTGTAGTAGAGTAAAACTACGAACAAAGAGAGTATATCACACGAAAAAGGAAGGAAGACCACGTATTGACATCAGCAAGACTCGTGATCAAAGAAAAGTGAAGGAATTCGCCCAAGCACTCGAGGAAGCCCTCCCAGGTCCGGCTAATGTAAATGCACCTGAAC